TAATTAAGCCTCTAAGATATCATTGTCTATGACTTTGATATTGTCCATCTATTGATCTTTGAGTTTGGGCCAGTAATGGGCAGACTAGCTTCGGCACTTCGTGTGCATGGTGAAATCTCTAGTCATGGGGTAGCTACTGTCGACTGGTCACATAACCCGCCTCTTTGTCGATGTTCCTTATTTCGGTGAAAGGGCGTGACCGTGTAAACAACTTTAAACTGCCTGTTTACAGTAGTCTATCTAAACCTTACCGACGGGTTTGGTTTCTTTGCTTAGGAGGGTTGGGGCCTCTGGCTTCTCTCTCTATGTTCCTACGGGCAGGGGCATATCACACTTTTGTATGTTGGGTGACTCCCAGAGCAGCAAGGGTGGCTGATTCCGTTGGTCATTTCCTTGTCGGCGACGGCCGGAAGGTGTCTGAGCTGGTAGCGCATCCGCGTTCGACAAAGAGGTTGCTCCCTAACTCATTTAAGTTGGTGCATTTCTCACATAGTGTGAGTACCGTGAACTTTTTCTGGAGTTGTTTCCTTGGCGGTATTCTAGACTCGAGTATGCATCGATGAGGACGTCAATCTTCCCAAGGGGGGGAGAGTGTCGCGAATGTGACTTCGGGTATCGAAAGTTACCTGTCGACTAGTCCTTACGGACACTCTTACCTTACTACCTTACGATGGCAGGAGGTCGGTATTGCTGGACCCTTTATTAGTCCCTCTTGTTCAAGTGTCAGTAAACTGGGCTTAGCACTTGTACTTAGCCAAATGGACATAAGGTAGGAACTCCTATGTGTTTCTAGCTGAGCATACTTGGCCTGGCTTTTAGTTCTCTTTTGCTCTGTCTTGCACTGGCTTGACAAGAACCCTCGCATATTGAGATTGGTCCCTCAATATCGCTGGATGATAGCTTACCGTGTCTGCCAAACACCCTCGCTATCATGCCCTTTGTGTTAGTCTCATTTCGGTCCCAAATGCTATTTATGGAAAGTGTCCAGATTTGCTCATTTGGCATATCTACGGAATGTAGAGATCGGCCTGAACACAATGGTGTTCGTCCCGTGTCCAAATTCACAATCTAAGGACATTCCATATTTAGTAAGTTTCGAGTTTGTCCTAGAGACTAACTCCTGATACTAAGGGAGGCTTGGGGTGAAAGCCCAAAGCGTGTGTTCCTGAAGAGGGGGGGGGGGGGCTGTGGGGGGTTCCAAATGTATAGTAGGGATAGTGGGTAGGTCGGGCATGGCCGACCAACCTGAGGCATAGTCTAGCTCCCGCTTGCGTGCCTGTCCTTGTTTTGCGTCCGGCTTGGGTCTAAGCCCAAGTTCCATTCCATGCTAGCTGGTGGAGTACCCATATCCTCATGTTAGGCCACCGGTATGCTGAAATAGCGCCAGACTCCGTTTGGCTCCGTTTTGCATGCTGGTCCTGGCATTGAGATGCTGGTTGCTCTAGGACTGTTCCAAGTCGCTCCGGGCCCCTGTCCCTTCGCTCCTTGGGCTGTATGCTCGGGAGTTGCTCCGTGGTTCGGTTCCATCACTCCTTGGCTCCATGCTTGGGAGTTTGGCACCGTTCGTTCGTTCAGTGGCCCAAGGCTCTGAACCTCGGGTTCCTATGGACACATGGCATGGACACGTGGCATGTGACACATGGCATCTGTCACGTGGCACAAAGAGGGTTTAGGTTCCGCTTCGTGGTGTTAACCTATGGTAAATCACCATAGGATAAAGGGTCAAAACCACGTGCGCTACACTCATCTTCAAACAAGAGGTATATTAAATTCTTTTTTTTTTTTCCTTTTTTTCCTTGTTATCTTTCTTTTCTTGAGCAAAACAGAAAGCAATCTTATGTATCATTTGCACAACTAGAGGAATATTATGTTGAATGAAGTCAGAAAACAACTTAACACTATGCCATATAAGCCCATTTTAGTCAAGTTTACCTAGTGGAACTCCCCACAATCCCCTTCCAAGCTTTGTTACTTCAGAAAGGCAGCCAGTAGGTAGTCATCACATAAGTCTTCTATATGATTCACTCTGCATGCAATGGCTAGTGATATGCTTACTAGGAAGGAAGTTCCCAGTCTTACAGAAATTAGATATAATCCATACTAAAATTAGTGCAAACTAAAAAAGTGTCAATCGAGAATCCAAGAAAGAGTGGTCTCTCTAGTCTCTCGGTGAGCCACTCAAGCCTCTAGAGAAGGTCTTGGCTATGCTCCAAAGTTCCAGTGCCTAAGAAATGCAAAGGCATAGATTCTTCAAGTTCTGCTCCTCAGTACAAACTTTAAAAGACCGCATGTGTGGGACGAACGCTTTCCACTAGGAAGGATGGCCAATAGCGAATGCTCAAGGATGGATAGGAAGGTGGTAAACAGGAGTACAAAAAATTACACTGCTCTACTTCTATAAAGCAAATATAGGACTATGCCATCTTGCAGAGGTTGCTGGAATCAAAACAGATAAAGGTGAGGGAATTGTAGCTATGTACTTGTGGATGCATTCTTTCTGGAATTGGCACTCACGGACTCTACTAGCACTGTCTAGAGACATATCCAATGACAAATAGTTTTTCTGGGGAGCTCAGGTGACCCGCATCATAGCTTGTTGCAGAAAATTTGGATTTCAGCATAATCATGGTCCTCACTACTCTCTCAACTTCTTCTCAATCGTTGCAGGTGCGTATCATTTACTTTTATCCAGAATTTCTGAACTATGGACAAAAGGAAGTGCTACCACCTCGGCTTACGCAACAAAGACTGCAGTGTACGGATGTGGTAACAGTCCGCTAGCATTCAATGTAGCAGACATTAATGCCTCTTGGTCTTTAGATTCAATGTTATTGCAGCTATTGATATTTGGGAGGTTCGTGGCTTTTTCGATGAAGAGATATGTTTGTGCGATCCTCCAAGCTAAGCGGTGGTGGCGGTAAGCTCTTCCTTCTGGAGAATCAAAGGTGCAAAAGCTCAAAAGCAGGGTCTCCAGTAACTCTACGCAAGTTTCCAATAGTGGCGAAGATGGTCTTCCAGCTGCCAGCATCACTTGGACCTGATTATTGTGGGGGGTCTCTTACTGACGGCAGCTCTTAGTGGTTCTTCATCCAGTTTTCCTTCATGAAAACTGAAAGCCAATCGGCTCCGTCTACAGAGCTGTGAAGAAATAAACAAGAGTGATGGGGACTTCTGTAATAGATTGCTTTCTTGTGTCATGACAACCTCGTCCAGCTCCACGGCCCACACAACAAAATGCTCATTTACGAGTTTCTCCCAAATGTCCTCTTCGAAGACAAGGAGGACAACCGGCTTGACTGCTCTTTGGGTCTCTCGGGGTGTCGCATGTTTGCAGGTTTTAGGTTATTGGGGAGTTGCAATCCATACCGTTGGATCGTTTGAGCCAAATGATCCAGCTGCCATCGCTGGCTGTTCTTTCCGGGTTTGTTGTGTCTAGTTTTCTCTACAAGCTCTCATTTTTTTCTCTTTTTCTTTAGAGAATCCTTGCTGGTGATTGTCCATCCAGGCTGCTTCTTTCTAGGTTTGTTGTGTTTCAGGAGGTTGAGAAGGCTGAATCTCAAGGAGACGGCCATTCCCCTGTCTAACTGTGCAAGCTTTTTTTTTCTCTCGTCTTTACTGAGTTTGCTAGTGCATGTTGAGTTTCGTCTCTTAGCTCCGCTGTGAACGCTTTTTCCAGTGATGAAAACCAGATCATCTCCAGGAATTCTCTCAGGTGTGCAGTGATTTAGACTGGATGGATTTGATCTTTTCCTGTGTTTAGGGGGTATCGATCGAGTGAAGACTACATATCCATATATAACAGTTAGAAAGGCAAACAGAGAGCATGGAGGATATCCAATGGACAGGTTTTGCTATGAAAGAAATGTAAACTTTATATTTGTCTCAGGCTTTGTAATATTGTTAATTTCTAGGGACGAAGAGCCTACTTTCCTCCGCCTGAGGATATGCCCGAGGAGGCATATCAACCTTTCCCCTTTATCTAAAGGGCACATGCTTGGAGGAGGTGTAGTAGGCATATCAATTTATGAAATCAAATATCTGGTTTCTACCAAATTGTGCCAAACTAGAATTCATTAACGCAACCAAAGACATGTTTTAGGTCACTTTTAAACGATAAGTTTTCTTTTTGTTTTTCTTCTTTAGTTTCAGTTTTTTCTTTTTTAGGAATGCTACCTTAGATAACATCTCAATTGCAATCAATTGTCACCTCTTTTTTACTACCTTCCGGACGAATTTGATGACGGGCCAACGATGGAGTAGTTTATCACAAAGTATTCCTTGTTGTGTTTACATGTAAAGTAATATTTTCATGCTTTTGTTGCAGTAAATGTGAAACTTTTCTTGTACAAATCACGCCAAGCAATAGCTATTATGAATTTAAGGTAATAAAGAGAGCCTTTTTTATAGATAATACAATGCTATAAGCACTTTAATGATAACTCACTTTGAGAGCCTATGAATCCCAATGTTATAAGCACTCTGATGATAGCTTGCTTTGAGAGCCAGCCCAATGGCTATCACCTCGGCTTCATCTCGTCCTGCTAAAGTTAGCACTGGCTCTGGGAACATGAACTGTCGTGGAACTCCCAGGATGGAATCGATGAGCTCATCACTCACGTTCTTCTATTTTGCAAGTAGAGCAGTTCGACTGGAGCCAGGACAAGCATAGAGATGGGCGGTGTAAGGCTCAGTAGCAATTTCCATAAGGTGCTATGTGCGAACTGGCCATAGCAGATTTAAAGGTTGTCCAGTGGAGAAAAGCTCGTCTTTCCTGCAAAACAAAACAATGTTCCTTGAGACGAGGCTCAGTCTGTTCTTGAATGAAAATCGTCTTATCAATGAGGTGATCGATCCTTTCTGTCAGGCAAAGGAAGATTAAATCAGTCTCCTCAGAACTTGGTCGCAGGACTTTTAAATCCTTGGTAATTCTCTTAGTAACTTTTAGTCCTTCGTAACTTTTAATCCTTAGATACCTCGCTAACTTTTAGTGCCGTGTTGACCTAAAAGAGGAGCTGAGTGATAATATTTGCTCGAGGCGCTGGGCGTGGGCGCCGATCGGGTGAGGTTTTTCGCGATTTTGTGCGCAGCGCATTCGTGCTTTGATGATCTCCAGCAGTAGAGATTCTCAAAGAGTGGAGCTGCCTGTGTTGTGTCTTTGGATTTTAGGGGTTTTAGAGGAGAAATGGCCACCGTCATGGCGCCTTGCCAGAGACCAGGGCTTAGTTTCGTCTTGGCCGTCTCCTCGCGACTGTCATTAGCCACCAGAGCTTTCCCGGTGCTTTATTTCTTCTTGCTTCAGATTCTTCTTTTTGTTCTCTCTCGGTTCTTCCTTTTCATGTCAATTTTACTTCCTCTAATTTGCTACGTGCTTTTGCAGGTAAGGAGCTTCACTCGGTACTGTAAATCCAGTTCCGCGTTTGCCTTGTCTTCGAAATTCAAGGTAGATGTTTCAAGCATTGTTTATGGTTCTCATCATGAAGGAACTTGGTTGCGTGCGCGGAAGCCGATTGAAATTGCCGGTACTTGTTTTTTCTTTCATTTTCGTGAATCTTACGGACTAACACATGTCGTGAACTGTAGCGTGCTTTTGCAGGGTCTAGCCAATTCTCCACAGTGAGTGTTGGAGCTTCTCCTGTAGCTGAAGAGATGGCTGTCAAGGAGGCTCCCAAGGAGATTTTTTTGAAGGATTACAAGCCCACTGGCTATCACTTTGACACGGTAACGCACCGTACTACTTGGATGCTGATTTCGTTTTTTCCACCCAGGTCGAGCTGAAATTTGTTCTGTCTGAGAAAAAGACAACCGTGGTGTCTAAGATCCGGGTTTTGCCGAGAAACTCAAGTATTTTCTTTTTCACTTTCGTTGTTTCGTTCGCTATCTTGGTAGTCATTAACCAGAAGCCATGCAGGTGAAAGCCCGCCATTGGTTTTGGATGGTCGTGACGTGAAACTTCTCTTTGTTAAAATCAACGGCGAAGAACGGAAGCTGGAAGAAGTTGAGCTGACCAGCCGTCATCTGACGTTGAAGTCACTTCCTGTTCAGCCTTTTGATTTAGAGATTGGCTCTGAGATACACCCGGAGACTAACTTGTCTCTCGAAGTAAGTGGGATCAAGTTTTTTTAGTATGGTTACTTTTTTTTCTCCAACAGGGGCTCTACAAGTCTTCCAGCGGCATGTTTTGTACACAATGCGAAGCTGAAGGTTTTAGAAAGATAACCTTTTACCAGGTCTTTTTTGTGACAATGTTTGGCTGACATTCTGGCGAGCTATTACAGGATCGGCCAGACGTTATGGCAAAGTTTACTACCAGGATAGAAGCGGACAAAGCACAGTGTCCCGTTCTTTTGTCGAATGGCAACCTTATAGACTCCGGCGACCTCGAGGTTGGCATTGTTTCTTCACTGGCATTATGTAGAGCCTGACGTGCTGTGGTCAGAATGGATTTCATTATGCTGTGTGGGAGGATCCTTTCAAAAAGCCTTGCTACCTCTTTGCCTTGGTAGCGGGGCAACTCACGTCCAGAGACGATACTTTTAAAACGCGTTCAGGAAGGGATGTTCAACTGAGGATTTGGACTCCTGCACAAGACGTCCCAAAGACAGAGCATGCTATGCATGCTCTCAAGCTTTCAATGAAGTGGGATGAGGATGTAAGTAGAAGTCTTTTTTCTCTCTCTGTCTCTTTTATCTCAACTTCGCACAGGTGTATGGGTTGGAGTATGATCTTGACCTGTTTAACATTGTCGCTGTTCCCGATTTCGACATGTAAGATGCTGTTTTTGTTCGTTTTTGGTAACTGATGCACGGTGTAGGGGTGCTATGGAGAACAAGAGCTTGAATGTGAGTCTCCTTTTTGCTGTTGTATTCACTTAATTTTTCTATTCGTATCAGATATTCAACTCGAAACTTGTTCTGGCGTCTGCTGAAACTGCTACAGATGTTGACTACGCGACAATTTTGGGTGTGATCGGTCATGAGGTTGGTCTGAATTAGAGGTTCTACAACCGCTAACCTCTACGTTTGCTTTGCAGTACTTCCACAATTGGACTGGGAATAGGTACGTCGTCGCATTGTCACTGCTTTAGCTATAGTCATGTAATACAGGGTGACATGCCGTGATTGGTTTCAATTGAGTCTGAAGGAGGGTCTTACAGTTTTCAGGGATCAGGTGCGTATAGTTTTTGCGTTGGTTTCTTTGTGTACTGAAATGCCAAGTTACAGGAGTTTTCTTCTGACATGGGCTCTCGACCTGTCAAACGTATCGGTGATGTCGCTCTTCTCAGAACAGCACAATTCTCAGAGGTACCAAAGGTTTTTTTCTTCTTTCTCCTCAAATCACACTGACCTTGTTGTCCGCAATAGGACGCTGGTCCCATGGCGCACCCTGTCCGTCCGCATTCTTACATAAAGGTACTCCTCATTTGCAAAAACTCTTACTAAAAATGAGCTTATTTGCAGATGGACAACTTCTATACGGGTATGAGCTTTAGAATTGTAGTTTTGCCGCGACTGACATTTTGTTATCTGTCCTTACTATTTACGTAGTGACGGTAAGAAGTTCGAAAACGATATTGTTAGGCGTCTTAATTCTACGTCTATGTCTACAGGTGTATAAAAAGGGTGCGGAAGTGGTTCGCATGTACCAAACATTGCTTGGGAAAGATGGGTTTCGGAAGGTTTGTGTTCAGTATTCTTATATCTTTGCAGACGGTGTTGCACAGGGCATGGACTTGTACTTTGAACGTCACGACGGACAAGCTGTAACTTGCGAGGATTTCTTTGCTGCTATGCGAGACGCTAATTCCGCCAATCTTTCAGTTTTCTTGAGATGGTAAGCTAATGCACAAGTGTTCACCTGCCTGACCATGTTCTTACAGGTATTCTCAAGCTGGAACACCCATTCTTACTGTTTCGACAGCGTATGATGCTGCAGCTCGTAGCTATACTGTAAAGTGCAAGTAAGAGGTGGCCTTTCTATTCTTTATTTCTCCTGCGTTTTCTCCTTAGGCAAGAAATTCCTTCTACACCTGGGCAACCTGTGAAGGAGCCGACGTTAATACCATTGGCTGTGGGTCTGCTAAATTCAAAAGGCGAAGATATGGTGTTGACCGAGTTGTTTGATGGAGGATCACTCAAGTCATTGAAAGACACAGCGGGGGGACCTGCAAAGACAGCAGTACTTCTTGTTGATAAGGTGAGGGTGCATCTTGTTTGGTTTTGGTGTTCTAACCAGTGTACTTTTGCAGGAAGAGCAAGAGTTCACTTTTCTCAATTTGCCTGAGAAACCTGTGCCATCTTTCCTAAGAAACTTTAGTGCTCCCGTGCGCCTTGTGACGCCGACTGTGACGGATGACGATTTGCTCTTTTTGCTCGCGCATGACTCCGACGAGTTTAACAGATGGGAGGCTGGACAGACGATGGGAAGAAAACTTATGCTGGATCTTATTCCGAAAGCACAAAGAAACGAACAGCTCGCGGTTCCATCCGCATTTGTGGAAGGCATGCGCAGTATTCTCAACGATTCCTCGTTAGATAAGGCATGTTTTTCTCATGCTTCTAGGCTCTAGCTGACGGACATATTACAGGAATTTGTGGCAAAGGCACTAACACTTCCTGGAGAAAGCGAACTGATGGACTTGATGGAGGTTGCAGATCCAGATGCAGTACATACTGTCCGAAAATTTGTGATAAGAGAGCTTGCGTCGAAACTGAAGCAAGATTTCCTGAAAACTGTGAGTATAGACTTATCGTGTTTGTTTCTGCCATGACATCCGTTTTCTGATGCAGGTGACTGAAAACCGAAGTTCTGATCCGCACTACACATTCGATCACAAAAACAAAGCCAGGAGATCCTTAAAAAACCTCGCTCTCGGTGAGTCGCTTCCTTGATAGTTGTCTCTTAGAGTTGAGTGCGTGATTTGCAGGCTACCTCTGCTCTCTGGACGAGGCGGACACTACTGAGCTTGCTTTGAAGGAATACAAAAGCGCAACAAACATGACAGATCAATTTGCAGCCCTCTCTTCACTTTGCCAGAATCCTGGGGACGTGCGTGATGAAGCTTTGGCAAACTTCTACGAGCAGTGGAAGGACGAAACTTTGGTAAGAATTTCCTTTGCTTCTTTTTTCATGGAGACTGAGCAAAACCATGCAGGTTGTGAACGAATGGCTGGTGTTACAATCTATGTCTGATATCCCTGGAAATGTTAAGAACATGAGGCGATTGCTAGATCATCCGTCCTTCGATATGAAGAACCCAAACAAGGTTCCGTGTTTCAGATCACCTTTCTCAGGAGCTAAAACATCCCTTGCTACACAGGTGTATTCTCTGATCGGTCCTTTTCGTCGGACCGCTGTCAACTTTCACGCTAAAGATGGCTCTGGCTATGAGTTTCTGGCAGAGGTGACTTTGCAGTTGGACAAAATGAATCCTCAGGTAACTCAAGCACAGTTTCTTCGTATCTTAACTTCGTCCTCACAGGTGGCATCGCGAATGATATCGTCATTGTCGAGGTGGAAACGCTTTGATGAAGGCAGACAATCGCTGGCTAAGGTTAAGCACTGTTTGTTTTCCAGGTCTTCTCTTCTCAAATGTGTGTGACTTTGTCCTTGTAGGCTCAACTGGAACGCATTGCTAAAACCGATGGCCTGTCAGAGAATGTGTTTGAGATCGCCTCCAAGAGCCTGGCAGCGTAAGAAAGATCAAGGAGTTCGCAATCGTAAGCTCGTTGTTGCATTCTTCTTGATAGATATACAAGCTATTTGCTTGGGAAAAATCACACCTTTTCAGGTCGAGCAAGCATTTGCCATAAGATTGTATACAGCTTCACCACTCAGCTCCTCAAAAGCCATCTCAATTCTTCCACTTTCTACAAGCCGCTGGTGCCACGCCAACGGAGAAATCACCACCGCTTCGTCTAGACATCGTCCTCGCAAGCTTCACTCATCTCGTCCGCCCGGCTCAAGATATCCGTCCTCCATCCCGGGACGAACACATACCGGCACTCCCGGCCTTTGATCAACAAGACCACCACCACCAAGCGCGATATGCAGAAGATTGTGGCGCGGACGAAGCATCGGCGAGCTCGTGAGTGGAAATTTTCTTCTCTTGTTCTTGCGTCTTGGCTGTTGTTGATCGCATCGGTCTGTGCAGGGCATATGAAGCTCCTGAATAAGCGTAATCTGTATGATCCGGTGGAGGAAGAGCTCGTCCGGCAGCCTCACATCCTGGATAGCTCGACTCCCAACGTGGCTGAGGAAGATCGGCAAGAGAAATCTTTGCTCGATAATGCGCTGGATGAAGAAATCTCCGACGAGGATGCTGCGTCGGATGATGGCGAGGATGGAGTTGAGGAGTCGGAAGAGCCCGAGGCCGTCTCTTCTTTGCCAGGTGATTTGAGAGAGGAGAACGAAGCTGACGATGGAGTGGAAGAGTCAGAAGAGAGAGATCGGCTCGAGGGCATCTCTTCTTTGGGAGGAGATTTGAAAGAGAACGTAGAAGCTGGGGCTGAGGCAGTCTCGAAAGAAGTTTCTGGCAGCGCTCCCGTGGATTCGTCTAAAGGCATAAAATCAAAGGAGCATCCCCGGCACGATCAAGATGGCAAGAAATCAAAGGAGCAGCCCCGGCACGATCAAGATGGCACGGAACCAAAGGAGCAAGATCAAGATGGCACGGAACCAAAGGAGCAACCTCGGCACGATCAAGGGCGGTTTGCTGATCTCAAGGTTTTCGTGGCCGGTGCCTGGGGAAGAACTGGAAGGTTCGTGAGTTCGTTTTTCCGTTCTTGCTTTTTTTTTCGTTTTTGCCTTTGTAACCAAGTTTTGATTCTCTAAACTCAGGCTCGTGATGGAAAAGCTCTCGAAAGGAGGTGCTAAAGTGCGAGCATTGTGTCGTGATAAGGCCAATCGATTCAACGAGCAGGGCAACGTGACTGTAAGTTGAAATTTGTGCTGCTGGTGTCACTGCGTTGTCTGGTATCGTGTCTTCTTTCTGGACAAGCAGGCTGTCCGTGGCGACATTTGTAAATACGAAACTCTCAAGCAAGCACTGGGTGATAGGTACGTTTGGCTCGTTCTCATCTTCCAGTCTAATGCAAGCTTTACAGTAATGCGGTCGTGTGTGCCATTGGGACGAAGTTTTTCCCGCTGGATATTATGAAGACTTACCAGGTTCTTAAGTTGTTAATCACATTCTCTTTGACACTGAGTGATTTTTTGCAGATCGAGTATGAAGGAGTTGTGAACCTTATCTCGGCAGCCAAGAACCAAGGACAAGTGAAAAAGGTAGCAAGCAAAGTATTGTCTATCCAGACTGACATTTAGCTCGCGGTTTATACTGGTTACGTCGATAGGAGTCTCGTCATTCCTCCAGATAATCCCCATTCTGTGGTGGTAAGCGAAACAGGCTTCAACTTCACAAGAATGTTGTCTCACTCGTTTTATGCTTCCTCAGGAAAAGGCAGGCAGAGCTTGCATTGCAACGCTCAGGGCTTGAGTACACTATCGTAAGGCCTGCTGGTCTACGAGAGAACGCACCCGCTGTAAGCGTTGCTATTCTCTCCTAAGTTTCTTAGAGATAACGTTTCTTTTTGTTCCAGGATGAGGCTCTCGTCATGAGGCCAGCCGACTCGCTCTTCATAGGTGGTATCAGTCGATCAAAGGTAAGAAACTCTAGCAGGAAAGCATGCATCTAAAAGGTCTTGCGGCTCGTGGATCAGGTCGCGGAAGTTTGCGTGGAAGCGATCGTGGTCCCGGAAGCCTCAGAGAAAATCGTGGAGGTAAATGTCTTGCTGATCAGACGAGGATTCTCTTAGAACAGTGGAAGCTCTTTCTCGCAGATATGCGCGGGTGACGTCCAGAAGGGCAGCATCCAGGAACTATTCTCGCGAATTTGATCAATGCCAAAGTAAATCCTCGTTCTTTCGTTAGCAAATTTCACAAACACTTGCAGTCATTTGTCACATGCTTCGAGGTTGGGTACCACAAGATTATAAACGATGGATAGATAATATCCTTGAGCAACAAATATTGTGGGAAGCTTTTGCAAATCCCTCAAAACATAAACAACTAGATCGTTCCTCCTATGGCCTACCACGATTTTCTATGCTTTCGACTGCAGCAAAATGAAAAAAAGAAAACTCGGGAACATGCACCAGCTGACCTGAGAGCTCAAAGTCAACGTCAGTCAATGGAAGTCCAATGCAGTTTTTGAAGACTTTCATTTACCTCTTGCTAAAGAACAAACTCTAGCAAGTTAACCTTAATAAAGCATTGATGTTAATGCTTAAACTATGACTTGATCTCAGAAAGCATTAATTTTTATTCAAAACCAAGTTTACCCACGGCAATCTTGGGCCTGAGATCCAGCAGTTGTTTGCCTTTAGTCTTAAGGAACTTTTGAGTTTCAATTCAAGATGAGTTTCCATGGTGTGCCATTGTCATACTTGAGCTGAGTTAAAGGTTGTCTAGTGCTTCACATGATGGAGGCTGTGAAATAGAAGAACACGAGTGATGAGCTCCTCAATTCCATCCCAGGAGTTCCATGGCAGTTCACATTCCTGGAGCCAACACTAACTTTAGTAGGACGAGGCGAAGCCGAGGTGATAGCCATTGGAAAAAAGGCAATGCAAGCTCTCAAAGTGAGCTATCATTAAAGCAATTGTAGCATCGAGACTTTTATATATTATCTATCAAAAAAACTCTCTCTACTATTCTAAACTTATAATAGCTGCAATTTGTACAAGAAAGGCTTCGCATTTACTGCAACAAAAGCAAGAAAATATTATTTTACATGTAAACGCAAGAAAGAATACTTTGTGATAAACTAGTCTATTGCCAACCCGTTGTCAAACTCATCCGGAAGGCAATAAAAAAAAAGTAAATGGTTGAATCCAATTGAGATGTTATCCAAAGTAGAATTCCTGAAAAATAAAAAACTAAAATTAAAGAAAAGAAACAAAAGGAAAACTTACTGTCCAATAGTGACCCAAAACATACCTTTAATTGTTTTACTGAATTTTGCTTTAGCACCATTTAGTAGAAACTACATATTTGGTTTCTTTTGTTGATATGCCTATTGTGCCTCTTCCAAACGCACACTCTTTAGGTAAGGGGGAAAAATTACCTATGCAGGCCGAGGAAAATAGGCCTTTCGTCCCTAGAAATTACACAAAGAAAAACAATATTACAAAGCCCGAGACAAATATAAAGCTTACATTTCTTTCATAGCAAAACCTGTCCATTGGATATCCTCCATGCTCTCTGTCTGCTTTTTTAACTGCTACATATGGATATGTAGTCTTCACTCGATCGATACCCCCTAAACAAAGAAAAACAGGAAAAGATCAAATCCATCCAGTTTAAAACACTGCACACCTGAGAGAATTCCTGGAGATGATCTGGTCTTCATCACTGGAAAAAGCGTTCACAGCGGAGCTAAGAGACGAAACTCAACAACAAACCTGCACCAGCAAACTCAGTAAAGACGAGAGAAAAAAAACAAGCTTGCACAGTTAGACAGGGGAATCTTTGGCCGTCTCCTTGAGATTCGGCCTTCTCGACCTCCCGAAACACAACAAACCTAGAAAGCAGCAGCTTGGATGGACAATCCGTGAGGATTCCCTAAAGAAAAAGAGAGAAAAACGAGAGCTTGTAGAGAAAACTAGACACAACAAACCGGGAGAACGGCCGCCGGGTTCCCTAGATCCCCGGAAAAACCTAGAAATCTCCCATAACACTGGGCATGGATCGCGCTCATTTGGCTCAAACGATGATCAGGTCCACAGTACTCCGGCAGTGATGCTGGCATGCTGTGGACCTGATCATTGTGGGGGGTCTCTTACTGACGGCAGCTCGCAGCGGTTCTTCATCCAGTTTTCCTTCATGAAAACTGAAAGCCGATCGGCTCCGTCTACAGAGGAGACGATGGTAGCTGTGAAGAAATAAACAAGAACCTAGAAGTAGAGGTGTCTTCTTCTCCATCACTGTCAATTGTCACAAACTATTGACACTTGACTGGGGGCTCGATTGCTGTGGGAAGATTGTAAGTAGCATAAAGTCTGAGACTTGTCAAAGATCACATCATGACTGTGAAAGATCTTTGAACTGGAAAGGCTGTAGAGCTTGTAAGCCTTCATTTCTAGTCACCATAGCCAATGAGAATAGCCTTCACGCTGCAATCTTCAAGTTTGGTGCCATGCTTCTTGGTGACAAAAGCATAAGCAACACAGCCAAAAATACAAAGATGACTACAAGTGTGGTTTCTTGCAAATATTACACAAGCTATTATCCTTGTGCTTTTTGTCCTTCTTTTTCTTGGCATTTTGCCCATTACGCTTCCGATTTTTGGCTGCACGGGCTGCACCCTCTTGGTGTGGCCCAAGCCTGTCCCAGACAGAGACCTTGGCATGATTGTGCACAAACATGGTGATCAATCTCCTTGCCCTAATTCATCTTGTGAGTGTTGCATGAGCATGCTGATGCATCCTAAGCTACTCTCTCCGGTCTCCTTGTCATCTTAGATCATACTCCTCTGATACCATGTTGTGAATTTCAAGCTCAACAATTCAATCTCAATTGAACATCATAACATGGTATCAGAGGAGTACGATCTAGAATGACGAGGAGATAAAGAGAGTAGCATAGAATGCATCAGCATGCTCACACAGCAGCAAGATAAGGTGAATTAGGGCAAGGAGATTGATTGCTTGGTTAGGTAGCCTTTAAAGGTGATGAATTCTCCTCCTCCCTCCCTTCTCATCTCTCTCCTATTACAGTTACTGATTTTTCCAGTCTTAACAATAAATGGTTCCAAAGAATTTGGAAGTGAAAGTAATGGTGTATATGTCTAATGATAGTAGAGTAAAACTTGAGTTTTAGAGCTTTAGGCCATTGAATAAAGGAATAAAGCTTAACAACTAAATTTATAGCTAAAGAACAAAGGAACTAGAACACAAAGATTTTCTTGAGTGTTCATCTTAAGGAGAAAAGGGATAAGAACACAGAATGACATTAAACAGTTCTAAAGCTTTTAACATCCTAATGCTATAATTAACATGTAAAATGGAATCAAATAAAATTTGGCATTATTTATGTATATTAATGGCCTATATAACATATCAATACCCCACAAGCTAGCATGGTATAGAAATTAAACTTAAACCACATAATAAGGACAGGCAAGAGCTAAACTATGCCTTAAGATAGTTAATTATACCCAACTTACCCACCATCTCTACTATACATTTTAAACACATTCACATCAAATGTTATTTGGATGAACAAAGGCTGTGGGGTGTGACCATGCCCCACAAAAGACCTTGAACAGCTCCCAAGATGAGCAGGACAGGACAAATGGGCTGTGATTAATTGCAAAGCCCTTGGCAAGGTTTTCCAAGCCTTACACACACGAGACTTTTGAGTAGTATCACATTGCACAAAAGCATGTGAGGTGTGGGCAACCCTTACAGCAATTCATGAACAGCAGACACCTGCTAATCGCATGCATCTTCGCCAGAAGCTCTACTCCATGGCAATGTCCGCCAATGACCATGTTGCTGTCATCAAACAAATCTTGGACGACTAGTTGCTGTGGGCGCACAGATGGATGAAGCTGAGGAATATGAGCATCTCCTCAGCTTGCTCCCCTCCACCTTCGATACAACCATCCAGTCGCTTCAACCCACAGTCCCCGGTGGTCAAATTTCCTGGGAGAAGTCATGACAGCGTTACACAACACTGCCTTGCGACGAAAAACGATGGAAAAGAGTGAGACTTCTTCCTACAATACCACAGCTCGGCCAAGCAAGAAGAAACTGTCATGTTCCAGGGGAGTTCTTCCAGCACAACCAGAAAATTCAACCCCTGCCCACATTGCAAGAAAACGAATCATGCTGAACACAACTGTTGGTTCAAATACCCAGAGAAATGACTGAAGACGAAGGCTAAGGCATTGATGGTTCATCAAGCTGATGCAACAGCTTTTGGCTCAGTACGTTCACTCTATATCGCATCTAAAAATCAAGAAACGTCTTTCTTTGATTCAGGAGCGACGGATCACTTGACGCACGACGCTCAGTGGTTCAAGACGCTCCAAGATGTTGATCCACCAGCCACAGTTGCAGTAGGGGATGGATCCAAGTCACTGGTCGAGGTACCATCTTGCTCAAACTTGAGAGTGGTTTTAGCACCACAATTCATGATGTATACCTTGTTCCAACACTTAAGTGCGAACTTGCTCTCTGTCGGCCAACTCACTGAATCTGGATTTGACATTCGTTTCGGCAAATCTGGATGCATTTTGCTCACTCCCGCGGGTGACTTAGGATTTGTTGGCATTTGAAAGGTCTATACAAGCTTTGTATGGAGCCAATACGAGCTGCTGAAGTGGTTGAACGCCCTCATCAGTTCCTCACGTTCATGGCTCCTACCCTGGACGAGCTTGAGCTGTGGCATCGCCGTTTCGGACATGCGAGCACACGGCGCATTGCTCAGCTCACGACGGACAGACTTGTCGAAGGCCTTGATTCCCAGTTCACAACCACTGCAAAACTTTCCTTTTGCGATGGTTGCCAGCTTGGGAAACAACACAAGCTTCCTTTTCCAAAGCGAGGAGCACGACGTGGCTCTGAAATACTAGAACTTGTTCATAGTGACATTTGGGGCCCTTCTCCCCATGTTTTATACTTACACCTTGTTTATGAACGAAAACACGTGCAACACATGGGCCCCTGGTTCAGCTTGAGCAGTGGATAAATACCCATCTCAGCAGCTCAAGAATCAGCAACACTGAGCATGAAGCCAATGGGATCGAAAATCCAGGTAGCCATTCCAATCTTCAACAACATCACTGTGTTGGATGCAATTGGGCCGTATGAAGCGCTCCATCGCCTCCCGGGAGTGAGCGTTACCTTCGTGAGCGACAAGCCGGGCCTCGTTGTTGCAGACGAAGGCAGATTCAAGATTGAAGCAAGCGCCAGCTTTGAAGATCTGCCCAATCCTGACATTCTGCTAGTTCCAGGAGGCACTCCCAAGCTCCTGCCGTTAGATCACAAGCCACTCCTCGACTACATCCGCAAGGTAATTGCTCGTTTCTTCATCCATTTCGATCGATCCAGCCCTGCTTGTTCTTGTGTCGATCTTCCAGGCTCACGAATGCACAACATTCACCACTTCAGTGTGCACTGGAGCTCTGATCCTCGGCGCGGCGGGATTGCTCAAGGGCGTGAAAGCCACGACGCACTGGGCCGCGTATCCGCAGCTTAAGGAATATGGTGCCAAGGTGACGAGCCAGAGGTACATCAAGCAGGGAAAGATCGTGACCGCTGCAGGAGTTTCTTCAGGGATCGACATGGCCATCTACTTGGCCTCGATCATCACGAATGAGAAGATTGCCAAAGCGGTGCAGCTGATGATCGAGTATGATCCGCAGCCGCCATACGATGCTGGTTCTCCTTGCAACGCCGGGGAGGAGATTGTCAAGCTTGCCCATGAGCTGTGGATCGATAATCCCAAATAATCCCATCTCTTCTTGAATGCAAATCGTCTTATCAATGATTAGTAATAAATTTTAAATCCTTAGTAACTTCTCTGTCCTTAGTAACTTTTAATCCTTAGATACCTCAGTGGGCGATAATATTTGCTCGAGAGGTTTTTCGCAATTTTGTGCGCAGCGCATTCGTGCTTTGATGATCTCGAGCAGTAAAGATTCTAAAAGAATGAAGCTGCCTGTGTTGTGTCTTTGGATTTTAGGGGTTTAGAGGAGAAATGGCCACCGTCATGGCGCCTTGCCAGAGACCAGGGCTTAGTTTCGTCTTGGCCGTCTCCTCGCGACTGTCATTAGCCACCAGAGCTTTCCCGGTGCTTTATTTCTTCTTGCTTCAGATTTGTTTGTTCTCTCTCGGTTCTTCCTTTTCATGTCAATTTACTTCCTCTGAATTTGCTACTCTCGTTTGCACGCAAGGAGCTTCATTCGGTACTGTAAACCCAGTTCCACGTTTGCCTTGTCTTCGAAATTCGTTTCAAGCATTGTTTTTGGTTCTCATCTTCGAACAAAAAATGTAGGAACTTGGTTGCGTGCGCGGAAGCCGATTGAAATTGCCGGTACGTTTTTTTTGTTTTTTTCCATTTTCGTGACTAAGGCATGTCGAACTGTAGCATGCTTTTGCAGGGTCTAGCCGATTCTCCACAGTGAGTGTTGGAGCTTCGCCTGTAGCTGAAGAGATGGCTGTCAAAGAGGCTCCCAAGGAGAGCTTTTTGAAATATTACAAGCCCACTGGCTATCACTTTGACACGGTATCGCACCGTACTAATTGGATGCTGATTTCGTTTTGTCCACCTTCTATCCAGGTCGAGCTGAAATTTGTTCTGTTTGAGAAAAAGACAACCGTGGTGTTTAAGATCCGGGTTTTGCCGAGAAACTCAAGTATTTTCTTTTTCATTTTCGTTGTTTCGTTCGCTATCTTGGTAGTCATTAACCAGAAGCCATGCAGGTGAAAGCCCGCCATTGGTGTTGGATGGTCGTGACGTGAAACTTCTCTTTGTTAAAATCAACGACGAAGAACGGGAGCTGGAAGAAGTTGCGGTCACCAGCCGTCATCTGACGCTGAAGTCACTTCCTGTTCAGCCTTTTCTCAGGGTTCTGGATGTGATAAGGAGGTCGTTTCAGGAGAAGAATGGATCAAATGTGATAAGGAGGGCGTTTCTGACGTGCTATTGTCTTTCCTAGTGACTTAAGAAAGTCCAAGTGTTCGACTTATCGTGGCTTGGTCAACCTTGGCATTTGGCTTTTAAGCTTTTCACCAAGAGAGACACTAGCTAACTAAAGAGAGGAAATTATATCGTTCTTTATCCAGCTACTTGCAATTAGAGAGCTGGGCCGAATTTTCTAGTGCGATTTGGATGGGGCGTTTAGAGGGATTCGTGTTCTTGATCGCCTCATATTGTCTGGGATGACAACAAATTTGAGCTAATCTTGCCCAGTGCCGATAAGGATCCTTGCCTGCGGACGGCATTAACTACTACTTTGAATTATTTTCTCTACTAAAGTAAAATTTATTGTCTTACTAACTAAACATTTTACATGCTTTTTGATGTTGGGTCATCATGGGAACTTATGGTTTTAACCTTGATGATTGAATAAATGAAATACTTTCTTGTGAGACTTTAGATATCCATTTAATAAGAGATATGCCTCTAGATTGAAAATAAGAGAAAGTAAGTATAAGTCCTAGTGATTAACCATAATTGTCAAAATAAGGTAAGAAACTCTAGCAGGAAAGCATGCATCTAAAAGGTCTTGTGGCTCGTGGATCAGGTCGCAGAAGTTTTCGTGGAAGCGATCCTGGTCCCAGAAGCCTCAGAGAAAATTGTGGAGGTAAATGTCTTGCTGACCAGACAACGATTCTCTTAGAACAGTGGAAGCTCTTTCTCACAGATATGCGCGGGTGACATCTAGAAGGGCAGCATCCAAGAACTATTCTCGCAAATTTGATCAATGCCAAAGTAAATCCTCGTTCTTTCGTATTAGCAAATTTCACAAACACTTTCATTTATTTGTCACGTGCTTCCAGGTTGGGCACCACAAGATTATAAACGATAGATAGATAATATCCTTGAGAAACAAATATCGTGGGAAGCTTTTGCAAATCCCTCAAACATAAACAATTATGGCCTACCACACTACCTGACAGTTTTTTACCACTGCAGCAAAATCAAAGGAGTCTCACAAAAAAAAAAAAAAGAAAACTTGGGAACATGCACCAGCTGACCTGAGAGCTCAAAGCCAACGGAAGTCAACGGAAGTCCAACACAGTTTTTGAAGACTTTCATTTTACCTCTTGCAAAAAAACAAACTCTAGCAAGTTAACTTTAATAAAGCATTGATGTTAATGCTTAAACTATGACTTGATCTCAGAAAGCATTAATTTTTTCTCAAAACCAAGTTTACCAAGGCAATCCTAGGCATGAGATCCAGCAATCGTTTGCCTTTAGTCTTAAGGAACTTTTGAGTTTCAATTCAAGACGAGTTTCTATGGTGCGCCATTGTTATACCTAAGCTGAGTTAAAGGTTGTCCAGTGCTTCATATGGCAGAGGCTGTGAAATAGAAGAACGTGAGTGACGAGCTCCTCAATTCCATCTTGGGAGTTCCATGGTGGTTCATGTTCCCAGAGCCAGTGCTAACTTTAGCAAGACGAGGCAAAGCTGAGGTGATAGCCATTGGGAAAAAGGCAATGTAGGTTAAGACTCCTATATATTATTTATAAAAAAGTCTCTCTCTACTATCCTAAACTTATAATATCCACAATTTGTACAAGAAAGGCTTCATGTTTACTACAACAAAAGCAAGAAAATATTACTTTACATGTAAACACAAGAAATAATACCTTGTGATAAACTAATCCCATCATCAAATTCGTCTGGAAGGCAGTGAAAAAAGAGTAAATGGTTGATTACAATTAGAATGCTATCAAGGTAGAATTCCTGAAAAAGAAAAGACTAAAACTAAAGAAGAGAAACAAAAGGAAAACTCAGTGACCTAAAACATGCCTTTGGTTGGTTTACTAAATTCTGCTTTAGCATCATTTGTAAAACTAGATATTTGTTTCTTTCGTTGATATGCCTCCTCCAAGTGTTGCCCTTTAGGTAAGGGGGAAAAGTTACCTCCACGGGCATATCCTCAGGCCGAGGAAAGTAGGCCCTTCGTCCCTAGAAATTACACAAAGAAAAACAATATTACAAAGCTCGAGACAAATATAAAGCTTACATTACTTTCATAGCAAAACCTGTCCGTTGGTTATCCTCCATGCTCTCTGTCTACTTTTTTAACTGCTACATATGGATATGTAGTCTTCACTCAATTGATACCCCCTAAACAAAGAAAAACAGGAAAAGATCAAATCAATCCAGTTTAAAACACTGCACACCTAAGAGAATTCCTGGAGATGATCTGGTTTTCATCACTGGAAAAAGCGTTCACAGCGGAGCTAAGAGACAAAACTCAACAACAAACCTGCACCGCAAGAGAAAAGACGTAAAAGACAGCCTTGCAAACTCAGTAAAGACAGAGCGCCCTGGTTCACCTAGAGAAAATAATAAGCTTGCACAGTTGGACAGGGGAATACATAACAAACCTAGAAAGAAGCAGCTTGGATGGCAATCCCGCCAGCTAGGATTCCCTAAAGAAAAAGAGAAAAAAACAAGAGCTTGTAGAGAAAACTAGACACAACAAACCTTGGCAGCTGGTTCCCTAGAGAAAGAACACAATCCCACGCAGCCCCGAAAAACCTAGAAAGCTCTCATACTCATGTTGCAAACTTTTTGGAACAATAATAGTTTCTTGCAATTGAGATCACAGAAGTGCAAAACATGGGTCCTGTGGGATGGTTCAGCTTGAACAGAGGGTAAATATGAATCTCAACAGCTCAAGAATCAGCAACACTGAAGCCAATGGGATCGACAATCCAGATAGCCATTCCAATCTTCAACGTCACTGTATTGAGACACTAGCTAACTAAAGAGAGGAAATTATAGTGTTTGCAATTGGAGTGTGCGGCCGAATGGGATTTGGATGGGGGATTTGTGTTCTTGATCACCTCATTAATCTCGCTCAGTGCTGATAGGGATCCTTGCTCGCGAACGTTACAGAGTAGCGTTATCGATTACGTGCTCCTAAAAGGGATCCAGCCTTATTCCAATCTCAATCACTATGACTTGCCACAGGCAATCGAGGTGTATGCCGTATCTTATGAATAAATAGGATAAGCTAGTTTTCTTTTCTTTTCAGGAAAGACTTTACAAATTTTGCCGGAATTTTGCTTCAAGACTTTTGGTGACTGTGTGAAGTACTAGACAACCTTTAACTAGCCACAAGGTGTTACTCAGCTAGGCCAATTTGCACCTGGGTGACAGCGCCTTATGGAAATTGTGCAGAAGGCAACTCGGCTTACACCATGGCTCACAACCTCTTGTTTCCTCATGGCTCTACTGTTAAAGTATATAGGAAAAGTTACCATGTTTGTACTTTCTCTTCTTGAATTTATAAGTTATTTACTACACATTGTGTTGTTACAAGGAATGAATCTTTGTGTATTATGAGCCATTTTCAAACTTGATTAATGCAGTTTAAAGAATTTTCAATCCATTTTGTTTTTCTTTTCAATTTTTTATTTCTCTCTTTGAACGATCTAGATGACAAAGCTGGAGTTTCAATTGAGCCACGAATACAAGATTTCTTTAAGGTATTTTTATCTTATTTTTGATTTGTAAGCATACTCCACATGGCTATGTATTATTCCCTAGGGAATATACAAAGTGTTGTCAGACATTATGGAAATCTAAAGGTTGTGCTATAAGAGTTTTATAATTTTTTATCCAACCATTGTTTTTGTCATGCTAGTGGTATTTTTTAAAGAATGGATGATCTTGCAAATCTTACACTATCTTAATTATTGCATAATACAACTCATATCAATTCTAGATTGAAAATTTATAATCAAACATTTTTCTCTTGAAATCTTTCAAGGATGGGCTAACATTCATAGATACTTTGAATGGCTTTCAAGGCATAATTTAGTCTCATCTACATTGACTTCAAATTATTAAAAGAGGGATTAAAATAAATTATTAAAAATAAGTCAAAAGAGATTATTGTTTTTATGATTGCTAGGCTATAATCATTGCTTTATTTGTATCACAAATGAAATAGTTGGCATGCATGTGAAATATATTTTGCAAGGTAATCAGTCTTACATATGTCTTACATATATACATGTACATTTATCTTAATAATAATCAAATCAATTAAAAAAACATTCAAGACAAAGTTACAAAGCATAATATGCACTAAGAGTTGATTTATTTATTTCCCCATCCACTCCATCATGGAAATACAACTAAGGAAGTATGACAGTTAAATATAACATTTTATGTAAAAAATAAACTAACTTTATTTTCATTTTTTATATAAAGATTGACACAAATAATGGTAAAGTATAGAAATGGCTCATTTAATTTTAAGACATTTTTGGAAGACAACAATAATGATCCAACCCCATTAGTAGCAAATAATTGTTTTTGTGCAAATGGGAGGTTAAATTAATTATACATCTTCTCTATATTTATTTATATTCATGGTTGTGTAGAACAAGGAGAATTGCAAATTATATGACTATTAGGAATAAAATAATACACTTGGTTCATTTGAATTTATGTGCATGCCACAGAGTTATATTTTAAAATCTATCTGATAATATCGTCCAAATAACAATCGACTTGTATTTTGCCAAGGAGAAGTGGCTAATACTCCCATCTCGACAACAAACTTTGGTGATCATCAATCATTAGCATTTGAGCATCACTATGATCATGTTCTTGTATTATGTGATGTAGATCCAAAAAATTTTGGCAACCATGAGCTAGTGAATATATTTGATTCACAATATTCATTCACAATATATATTGTGTGTGAGTTTAAGTAGCAAATTGAAAATCAACAACAAACATATAATAATTTACTTAACATCATTAAATTTAACTATGTTATTCACAATCCCAACATATATGGTTATTAAATTGTTAAATTTCCTTTAGATTCTCTTTTCCTTTTATATATTTCTTTAATTTAATTGAATGCATTTTTTAAAAAAGTTTATTTGGAACAAGACCTAGCTAAATAAAGCTTTTGCTAATATGGATTCATTTGTTGTTTACTACTTATGTAATTGGGCTAACTAAAGCACCAAACATTTTTCATATTTTGTTTATTTTGTTTTAATAGTCTAGCTATCTATCAAGAAGTATAAACAAACTTTTGCAAAATTGGTTTAGATTACTCTTGCTCTCTC